AACTAAGGTAAAGGTGTACATATAATAAACTTCAGTGGTTTCTGTTTATTTCCTCTCTTTACTTTTTTTTTTCTTAAAAAAATATTTATTTACTTTCATAATAAAGCACATATATCTTTGAAATTACTATATTAGTTAATCTGAATAAGCTTATTCAACTCGATTTTTATGAATTAGTGTATGTATCTGACTCGAAAAAGTAAAAGTTTAGGTAAACATAAATGATTTAAAACAAATATTTTAAAATCGGAAGATAATAAAGCGGATATAAAATTGGCCATTTAGAAAAATTAATATCCCATTTATACCGTCAATAATAAAATTGTAATACCTTTTATCCAATTCCAAAAGTATGGATATTTTTTGAAGACAGATACAAAATTAGTAGTTTAAAAATTTTGATGCCCGAACTATAAATAAATAATATTATAATACTCTTTATCGAGTTTTAAAAATATGGATAATTTTTCTTAGGATACAAATTAAATAACGGATACGGGTATCGTATCCCAACCCCATCTGCTACTATGTTTTTCTTCATTGGTCTCCTTTTAAACAAAATCAATCCTCTATAAATGGATACGAGTTCACCTAGGCTAAATATAATAATTTTTACCATTTCTATTTCAAAGTTGGAACTTGGAACATTTGTTAATGGACGGTTTATAGTATACTATATGTTTGTTAATGGACCAAATTGTCATTACTTACGAGCCACTAAGCCCACATTTTCCAAAATAGGCCCAGTTGAAATGGTCACAAATCTAAGTTAGCTACGTATGATCTCATGGGAAGTTCATGGTAATGCTGAGTTTCACAATCGGATATTGTTCAAAAATGCAGAAGAGTTAGTCAAAACTTTTTACTCTTTTCTTGTAATTCTCTTTTCAAGATTTGACATTTGATCGTTTTAGTAATTTCATTTGATCATCCTCAACAGTCAAGTCATTATAAAGTTTTCAGAATTATCATTTGATCGGATTATATTTCTGAAAACTTTAAACGAGCACAATAGCTAGATCAACCTTATCAAGTGAGTCTTTGATCATTTCAGAACCATCATTTTTCTCAACTGGGAGCAAAGTAGTTGGATCAAACATTTTAGCTAGTTAGGGGGATTAGTTTGTGTAAATTTTGATTGGTTTAATGATGCGAATTAGTGGGGGTATTAGATGACAATGAGTACAAAACCCGTAAAATGCATTTTTTGTTAAAAAAAAAAATTGTAAAGAAAATGCCCTAGAAATTATTTGGGCTAAGAATAAAATGTTAGGGCGGGCATGTTACAAAATTAAATATAACCAAATTTGTCCTTAAAAACGATGTCCAAATGTAAAATGTAATAAGCCCACTAGTCCAAAAATTATCGTCAAATTAAAGTTGGACTGTTGGAGTATTCAAAAAAATTCACTTCTAATCATAGACATCAGAAGAGAAACAAAGTCAAGAGGTACAAATAAATACAAAACAAATTATTTAAGACCATTTTATGACACACATTTTCTATCATAAGTTTTACTTTTTTCCCTTGTTATGTTTTTAAGTTTAGATATATTTTTAGTGAATAAGGTGTATAAGGTAGAATATAAATTTAAGAATAGTGGATTTTCAGTTTGTAATGCTTTAAGTTTAAATGTTTTAACTTTAAATGTTTAATTTGTTTTCTTTGTTTAATAGATTGATAATATTATAAATATATAAATTTTGAAAGTTTTTACTACCTTTAATAGTATATAATAAAAAATATTTATAAATTTTTTTAAACTAGAAATAAATAAAAACATTGATGAAATAAATTAGGTTTATTTTATAAAATCTAGTAATTTATAAACATACATATTTAATTATGACAAGTTTTTTGTTTGATAAATATTTTCATAATTTTAACTAATTTATTTATTTTTAAAAATTTCATCAAAACTAAAATTACTCTGTCAAATCCCAAAAGAAATGACTAAAATTTTTAGTAAATTCGATCAAATTTCGCCGTTATCATTTAGAGCCTAATTAACCAAATATTTCATCTTTGACGCAGTCTAAAGACTATACAAACGAAAATGAAAGAATAAAATAATTTCAAACATAAACCAAGCCCTCCGAAAAAGACTTAAGGAACAAGAATAAAATAACACCGCGTAAGACGAATCTAACTCAACACGATCACGCCACGTGTCCTACACAAAAAAAAAAAAAACCCAAACCTTCTTTTAACCGCCAAAGAACCCACACATCCTCCCATTAACCCCTTCCTCTCTTCTTCTTCCTCTGAATCTCAACAAAAATGGCAGACGAAGATCGGACTACGTTAGCTCCGACGGGAATCTACGGCCGTAGCGACGAAGAACAACAGATCGGACCGAGAATCTGGCGTCGGAAAACAGAGAAATCACCAGGAAACTGTCTCGTTTACTCCTTAACGATAATCGTAATCGTTTTCTTAGTTTCTCTAATCCTCTCCCTGATTTTTCTCCGAGTATCGAAACCAGAGATCGAAACCAATTCAATCTCAACCACAGATCTTAAATTCAGCGGTAATTCATCGAACCCTTACTTCAACGCGACGCTCGTGAGCGAGATCTCGATTCGAAATTCGAATTTTGGGGATTTCGAATTTGGGAATAGTTCGTTGAGATTTGTTTATGGTGATCATGGTGTTGTGGGAGAGACGGTGATTAGTGGGAGAAGAGTTGATGCTCATAAAACGGTTAGATTAACCGGGATTGTGGTTCAGATTGGTTCGTTTCGGTTATTGAATTCAAA